AAACTATTACCACTTAAAACAGATGAACAAGGATTTTTAAATGATAACAGCGGAAAAACTATCCCCCCGTCTAATGAACCTAAATATATGGAACAATCAGATACTCTTCTCAAACTATACAATATATATATATATATATATATATATATATATATATTCTCACGTATTGATTCACGGATGGAAAAATGTGATGACACTATATTCCGGGATATCATCCGTTCGCTCGTTGAACTCCGACTGGAATCCTGCATCCGACTGGAATCCTGCAAATCTTGCATCCGACTGGAATCCTGCAGACGTTTCGCCAAAATCTCACTTGGCATCTTCAATGCTCGCGCTCCGAAAACACTTCGAACACTGTGTTCGAAGTGTTTTCGGAGCGCGAGCATTGAAGATGCCAAGTGAGATTTTGGCGAAACGTCTGCAGGATTCCAGTCGGATGCAAGATTTGCAGGATTCCAGTCGGATGCAGGATTCCAGTCGGAGTTCAACGAGCGAACGGATGATATCCCGGAATATAGTGTCATCATATATATATATATATATATATATATATATATATATATATATATATATATATATATATATATATATATATATATATATATATATATATATATATATATATATATATATATATATATATATATATATATAAGCCGGTCACCTTTTCGTTAATTGATGTAGAAGAAAACCTAGGGACAATCAGTGAACATTGAATGTATTATTATCCTCTAATCCCTAACACCTGAAAACATAGAGAACAATACATTCAGGGCTCGTTTACTGTCCCAATCATTTGGCTACTAGATATTTAGAGGTTTAATATGTTACTTATAATTGGAGGATAAATGACATCGGAGAAAGGGGGAGGTTTAGATAATAATTTGCGTCATATTCTTGTTGTGCCTTATCCTTTATACAGTCCCATGTTCTTCGGTCTTCTTTCATTTTATTCAATTTTATCTTGTTATTCTACGCTTTAAATGTTGTTTATTCCTCATTTTGCTTTGTGCACTCTTTAGAGAGCGTTATTTGTGACGACCAGGTTTCAAATGCTTCAAAGTCTCCAGCCTCATCACATCAGTGGGTAGGTTACGGCACTGAATATCGTATGCTTAAAAAGAAGGTACCCTTTATAGCTGTCTTAAAAAGATTCATGTTCTTTGATCTTTTTGCAGGAACCTTTTACCTTCAATTTTACCTTGTATTATTTCATGTGTCATCTTGAATGTGTTTATTACTTATTTTGCTTTGATTTTTTATTTCTGCTTCTAACCTTTTCGGTCATCAGTTTTTTTTAATACGTCGAGCATCTTGTCATGTTTGACATCACCAATAGTGTGGGTAGGTCACAGGGACAATCTACACCTAAGAAATGTCTTTATTCACTGACTTCTTAAGGTTATGTCAGTTGGTAGTCTTAATATATTCAAATTCCGTCGTAAAAATAGTAAAGGTTGATTTTATCCGAAACTTACTATCGTAACTATCCCTAACAGTGACAACCAAGTGCCTAAAACTTAAGGTTGTTAAATATCCAAAAACATGTCGTATGCATGTGATGGCGACAATGACAGACTAACTAACTAATTTCAGAAAGACTCTTCTTCTAGGGGCCCTTTTATCTTCACAATCTTCTTCTTCTTGAAGTGTCTATGAGTCTATCCATTCCGGATGTTGGCGATCAGCATGGCTATTTGTTGATAGCGATTCGGAAAAGTTCTGCTGATGATTTGTTAAACCACGTTCTAAGGTCTGCTAACCAAGTGCTTTCTTAATGTTAATTTTCCGACATTTTACGGTGCCAAGCAGTTCTGTTTCTTTCTTCATAAGACACAATACTTCTTTGTTGGTAATTTTTTGTGTCAAATATATTTTCAATATTCTCCTGTACAGCCATAGTTCAAATGTTTCCAGTCTCTTGGTGGTTTCTTTAGTAAGTGTCCAAGTTTCTACGCCATACAGAAGCACCGAGAAGTTGTAGCAACGCAATAGTCTGAGTTTCATGTATAAGGACAGATTGTGACTCTTAAAAAGCGAACTGATTTTAATAAATACTGAGCGGCCCTTTATGGTTGTCCCCAAGTATATGTACTGCTTTACTCTTTGTATTCTACTACTACAAGGAGTTTGGTTTTGTTTATATTTATTTCTAACCCGTGCTGTGAGCTAGCCTCAGTCAGTTAGCTTTTGTAGTCCTTGAAGGCTATCTGCAAACATTATAGTATCATTTACGTACCTTATGTTATTTAGTTTAGCACCATTTATGGTTATTTCTTCTTGAATACTGTCAAGTGCCTGTGTAAAGATGTATTCTGAGTACACGTTAAATAAGATTGGGGATAGAATACATCCCTGCCTTACCCCTCGCAATATTTCTATTTGTTCTGTGTACCCGCCGTCAACCCTTAAAACTGCCGTCTGGTTCCAACATAAATTTATAATTATGTTTAAATCTTTAAGATTCACTCCTATCTTCTTTAGTATGTTGACCATTTTATCATGTTGGACTATGTTAAATGCTTTCTGGTTATCTCTCAAGCAAGCAAACACATCACAGCTGACGTCCCTGCATCACTGAAAAAGCACTTGAACACCAAATAGGGCTTCTCTTGTGCCAACGGCATTCACAAATCCAAACTGATTTTGGTGCAATCTATTCTACACAAAGTCTATGTATTCCTTTGTGTATTATCTTAAAAAATAACTTCAAGAGATGACTCATTAAGCTTATTGTTCTAAAAGTTTTCGTACTTGCTTTTTTAGGGAGTGTGATGAATTTCGACTTCAACCAGTCTGCTGGAATTTCCCCTGTTTTTCTAGTCAACCATTTTGTTTTATCCTCATTCAGTAGTTTTATGAATTCAGTCTGTATTTGGTCAAATCCAGCTACCCTTCATGGCTTCATTTCTGAGATGGCGGCTCTCACTTCATCAACCAGAATTTCCGGCCCTTCACCTTCAGCTGTCTGTTGTTCCTTGCGTGCATAATCGAATAAATTCTCCAGATATGTTTTCCAAATCTTCTTTCTCCTCTCAGCGTCAATTATGATTCCTCCGGCTTAGTTCAAATTGTTCAATTTTCTATTAAAATTTAAAATTATTCGAAACAAATCCAGCCACAACATTTTAGGTTTTGTTTATCTCGCCTTGATTTTTTATACAAATTGTCTCCCTTCGTTTATGAAACGGAGCTTTTTCGGTTGAAATTTATAGTAAAAAATCTAAAAACCGGATTTGCAGTCATACTTCCGAAATTTTGAGAAGAAACCTTTAGCAATGGTGAGAGTCGAACTTCAAATACCGAGTACACGGCTTAAAAACTTTTATGTACAGAAATCGCAATTTACAATAAATATATCAAATGTCGGATGCAGTACACAGGATATTATTTGCTATAGAGAATTTTAATTTCGGGGCAACAACAAGGGTTGATCGTTTTGGAGAATGGACCGGATAACAAATAAATAGATATTTTATTTTCATTAACGCACGATGAATTTAATAAAATTTGTGTTTGCCGTAATTCAGGCATTGGAAATTTCAAAATAAACCAGTGGTATATTTTGCGGCAGCTTTTAAAAAAGACCTATATTAGTGCTTTCATGTCCCGCTAAAATATTTGAATACATGAGGCATATATACATGCACACTTATGTGCAACACAAAATATCAACAAGGCAACATCGTTTTTTACATAAAAAATTATTAAAGATTTTGCTGAAAGATCGGACAAGAAAAATTAAATTGATGTTATTCAATCAGATTTTGCCGGGGCCTCTGCTAATGTATCACATAATGCACTTGTGCAAAAATTATTCAAAATAAATAAGAACTAAAAGTTCAGAGTTTCACGAAATTATATATATTCAAATGACAATTGTTTCGGCAACACCGTGTTTTTCTCACATTTGATAAAGACACCAGTGTCGAAACAATTGTCATGGGAAACCTGAACTTTTAGTTATTATTTATTTTGCCAATTATATTTATTTACTTATATATTATAATTTGTAACATATTTTTTAAAGGCATAAAGAAAAACTCTTTCTTGTTGCTGCGCTCCAACCATATGATAATATAGCGATTATTAATTATGTTTATTTCATTAAACCAAAAATGTAGATACAAAATTTCTAAAAATAATACGCCAAATGCATAGTTATTCGTAATTCTGATAATGCTTCCGATTTTTGCCAAAGTTTAATGAATAGGAAAATGTACCATCCATAATATACCATACCATATTTAGAATATTTATTATTGTTGAGACGTTTTTCTTCATAGTCAACAATAATTCCTCCCCTGCCAACCAGTTACATAGGGGGTTTAGTTGCGGAAATATTTCAAATATTTGAATAGTAATAAACTGAAAATGGTCTCGATCCGCAAGTGCAGAATCTACGCATATCTGCGAATGGACTTAGTCTTTTGGATTCTATAGGGTCCATTATAGTTCCAGCCACTTCCATAGATCACCTTACTGTTTCATTTCCAACCTGGTAAAGTCTGGATATTATTTTGCTGGTTCTTTAGTAGCCCACCTCCACAGCCAGCAGTAGGCAGGCTTAATTCTCAGGTTTCTGAGCCATTCATTATAGGCAAGGTATTTTAACGCATTGGAGACCACAACTTCCCTAGTGACACCATGTCGTAAGCTTTCCGTGCATCTATGAAAGTTAGGTAAACTTGCCTACCTCTCTCTCTCTCTCTATCATTGAATAAGAGTTTTAACAATGTTGTTCATCTGTTCCTATACAATTTTTGGGAACTCGATCATACTATCTGGATACTGACTGACTGTGACGGTGATCCGTCTATAGTTCCTTCACTCCAATGTACTCCTTTTTTGACAATGGATAATATCAGTCCTGCTCTCCAGTCCAGCCAAGTAAATATTGGACGGGAATGGGATAAAGCAGATCCTTATAGATTACCGTGGTTGACTTCGTGATTCTAGCTTTGTATTCGTGTGTCATTGAAGCTTTATATTTGCAGCTCTTCGGATTATTCCTGGCATACGAAACGAGATCGCTGAAGGTGAAACAAATAAACGACTCCCAGTACGTCGCGTTGACCATCTACAACGTAGTACTATTGTGCCTAATCACCGCGCCGGTCACGATGGTGATCTCTAGCCAGCAAGACGCCAGTTTTGCCTTCGTATCTTTAGCTATCACTTTTTGCTGTTTTCTTTGCATGGCTCTCATATTTCTGCCTAAGGTAATTACACCATAACATCAACGTCGACAAATCGCTCCATTCAACTGCTCGTAGGTGATCGCTGTAATTAGTAGATCGAGCGATAAGGCTGAAAGCAAATATAATCCGGATGAGAGGCCATCCAAAGAGGACGAAGAAAAATATCAAAAACTAGTGAGCGATAACGAGGAGTTACAACGACTTATAGCCCAGGTGAGTTTTTAGCGTTCGTCCGTGCAAATGGCAATTACTTGTTCGGTGGGAGCAAAATAAACCGAGACGACTCAGTGTTTAATGTATTCAAATTGAAACCAGGAGAAAATTTTACCGTCGCGTTTCATTCAAACTGCTTTCGATCCATGAAAGTTTAATGAGTTACAAATTCAATCGGCCATTTTGTTTCTGGTTATTAAACGTTGATCGGAAAAGTTGTGCGATTGTTTAATCGATGACCCAATCTCCGCGATACGGCATGATTTTAATAAAAATGCGGGATGATTTAGGCTATGCCTTCAAGGCAATTTTATTATTTTGCTGGTTTGCTTTTCAAAGTTGGGGATTGTGGATGCGCCGATTTCAATTGTGCTCTCGCTAATTCACAGACAGGCATTATTTAATTTCATTTGATACCTATAATTTTCCTTTAATAATGTTGAGAATCTAAACGTCTGCAATTCGGTATTTTTTTAATTTATTATTATTATTACAATATTTTGATTTTTCAAAGAAACTTCCACAGGCTACTGTAATACTTTTTACAAAACTTCTGGATTCCTGCTGCGTCGGTTTTGGCTACACTAGGAAAATAATCAAACTCTTCTCAACTACCAAACACTGTAATAAATGTATCATCTCACCAACTTTCAAAAAACGGAAAAATCAGTTCTTTCGAAAGGTTCCAACTTCGTATTATCCCAAAAAAGTCTATCCTAAACAAATTGCCATCTCAAACAGCTGACGAAATTCGACTTGAAACAGCAAAAATTATTAAAAAATCAAAACCTCCTAAATTTAATATTGCAAAGTCTGAACCCTAACCCTAACCTAACACACAAATGAGTATCAAGAAAAGATTCAAGATATTCTTACAGACGGATCATATCGTCAACTTAAAAAAGATCCTACGCCATCTATGTCTAACCAGACTCCGTGAAAAAATCTGTCACCCCTCATGACTCTAAAAGTCCTCATTTCTATGGACTCCCAAAGATTCACAAAGCAAAACTGTCAGTTTCACTTCATTGAACAAATAATAAGCATTACATTAGATACAAAAGATATTCTGGTTAGTTTCGACGTAGAATCCCTCTTTACTAAAGTTCCTATTCCTGAAACTCTCACTATCATTTCAGATATATTAAAATTCACGAATCTGGAATCAAACCTTCTCACCTTAATTGAAAAATCCTTGTCTGGAACATATTTTTCTTATAACAGTTAAATTTTTGAACAAACGTTGGCAACAGCTATCGGTTCTCCACTATCACCAGTCATCGCGAATGTATTCGAAAAGAAAGCTCTCGACACCTTCCATCTATAAATATCAACGAAAATCTATAAATAACACAACAATCTTAACCGCGACTCAGGTCTTCAATATGCAATATGGGAACTAGTCATCCGAGACGGTGTTATGCCTGTCATTTAGCTCCGCCCCCTCAAACAATATATAAGCAGGTACAGAGTTAAATGCGAGTCAAGCTCTGAAAAAGCCAACAGGATGATTGGAGAAACGTTAGCAAGTTCGACTCAGCAAAAACCGACACAGGATGAATCCAGAAGTTTTGTAAAAAGTACAATATCTATTTATAACTAAATAAAGAGAAAGAATTAAAAAAAAGAAAAGTTGAAAACTAAACATTTAAGACGATTAAAAGAAAGCACACCTGGAAGAGTTTGCTAGAATATAGTTTTTGACCTCTCCAGACAATATCTTTTTTTTTTTATTTCTCTTACACATAGAGGAAGCAGTTTACAAAATTTTGGCCCTGAATAACATTTCTGTAAATATTAGCTCTAGTTTCATAATGATGGTTGACTTGTGGCTGCCTGGAAATATCTGTACCATAAAGCAACGCACTAGAACAAAATTTCAGTCTTTTAAAGATAATTTGAACTACAGCATTTTGTAATTCCCGTAACATAAAAAATGTATGTAATAAAGGTCTGATTTTTTCATCAACCATCGTTCCCAAGTATTTAGTTGGTTCTACTAAAGTGTCAATATGTATTTTTGAAACGTTGGGACGATTTTTCCCTGTTCAAGAAAAGGCTATATAATCAGTTATATTCATTCTAGGGGATAGTTTAAAAGTGTCCAAAAAATGTTTAGAATTTTTGAACCATTCTCCATTTTCACCTTCATACTTATCTAAGAAAAATCACCAAAAACAATCAGTGTGTCGTCCTCATAAGGAACAACCCTGCCTAGCAAGCCTAACCAAAACTAACTTTCTGAATTCACGAACTAATAAAGGTTCTAGTACCTTGCAATTTTAAGTATCCACCTTGACAAAGCTTTGGTCGCTTAGAAGGTTTCCTATTTTTGCAAATTAAGGCCTATCTGTAATCTGTAAACAAATCACACACAATCGGTATTGTTCTGAGATGTCAGTTTATTATGTTATGTTATTTAAGACTAATTTCCATAATTATGAACACGCATGCTTAATCGAAATTGCATTATTTGAAAGAGCGAGTTCACTAATTCTAGCACTGATCCTTTCAACTTATACAAAAATTTAGTTGCGCATTGATTGCTTTATTTTTTATGAATCTAGGAATTAATTAATTAATTATCATAAATAAGTAAATCTCTCCAACATAGAGCCTTGAAAATTAGTTGATATATAGTATCAAAGGAATGCTGGAAATCAAAAGAGATACGTTAAATTAGAAAAAAGTTGCAATACTTAAAAGTATATGACGTGCTGTTAACAAAACTAAAAAAATCGCTTAACTTTATTTTTTTCTCAAGTTATTTAAAAAGATATAACAGAATAAAAATCACTTTCTAGTTACCACTTTTCGAGGTCTACAAGATAATGCTGAGAGATTTTAAGTACGACGTTTCGTTTTGGCGAAACCGCCGTCAACTTGATTTTTTTATATGGTCCACGAAAAAAACTACACCATGTATTAAATAGCATTTTTTATTATTTTGGTGTAGTACGCGCTGACATAATCGCGTTAGGAAAATGACAAAATATTTTTTTTTACATACTGGTATATGCCATTTTTTAACGTTGTTGGTACGTCTTTTTGTGGGGTCTTTATTGGGCAAGTACATCGAATATGTAGACATCAATATCGTTTTGGGTTTAATATTTGCGTTAGGATTTTGGAAACACATGTAATCGGCCCTTTTTTATAATGGTTCTCTTAACTTTCAGCGTTACTGCAATCTCCTGAAGCATGACATTGAAGAAGCTTTGAATAAGCCTTTCAAAACGTTACAAGTTATCTGTGTTTTATCAAATTAACATTTGATTTAATCTACCTATTTAGTTAGGACAGACAATTTGTATACTGCCTACATATTTGGCTTTGCCAAATCCACGGGAAACCAAAAACGACTCTGGACTTTGAAATGGAAAATACCATATTTTATTATAGATCCTGTTGTTTTGCCTAAACCTAAACCTAAACCTAAAATAACATCGTTTTCGAAAAACTACTAGAGATCAAGGAGCTATGTAACATATTTATTCCATTCTTTAAACATATTTTTTTTTAAATCAAAATTTTGGTTATTAAAACAGTGCAAAAAAAGTTGAGACTTTAAAAAGTGTTCTCGCACTATGGTGCTATTTGAAAAAAAATAGGTAACCCCAATAAATTATTAGTTCATTACATTAAATGCTATTTGGCATCAGTTGGGTAGGAACAAGTTTCCTTTTCAGAAGAAAACAAACATTTCCGAAAAGAAAAAATATTATGAAAAAAGATCTTCTCCCCCGTAGAGTCCTGAATCCAAAAATGCAAAAGTATAGATCGCGTGTGCCATTTAAAAGCGGAAGTGCATCGATCAATAAATTGCTCATTTAAAGCTTGGGAGTGTTCCTACTTTTTTATGTCGCCCGGTATACAGAATAAAAAGTAATGTCAAACATAGTTCAACGAACATATTTTCATTTGCAGAAAGAAGAGAAAATAAAACTAATGAGGGAAAGGTTGGTAGAAAGAGAGAAGGAAAGCTGCGGTGCTAAGGCGATAACACATCACACGTCATTGCTGATGCAGGGTAAGGAAACGCTGATAGTGGCGGATTTTATTACTGACGCAGGTACTTCGGATTCCGCCTTCGGCGGTGGAGTTTCGGTGTACACCAGGTCGTCTAGATGCAGCCAGTCGGACATAGAGTTTAGTGACAGTTACCTCTAACTGCAATGAAAACTTACGAGTAAACGAAACAGGAAAAGAAATTAAATAATAAATTTTAATATATAATGTTAACCACCCAGACCCATTAATTAGGTGGTGTATTGTTTCCAGAACTAGCTAATATCCATTTGCTGTTTCTCCTTGATAAGTTTGGCTTACCAATCTAATTTCAGCAGTTGTTAGTCTCTCCAATTCTGCGCTAAATATATGTTCCCGCTTTGTACATCAACCAAGTATTCCTAGAAAAAGACATCTCGATATTGATGCCATTAGTAGACAATCCAGTATTGAAAAATGTGATATATTGGTAAGTCAAAACTGATATTGTACAACGTGTCCCGTTTTCGTCTAGTTTCTGTACTTTGAATGCTTTCGGGATGCTGCAGACAAAATTTTGAGATCATCTATAAGGTGCAGATTGATTTAACCCTATATATTATTTATTTTGTTTTCCTAATTTTCAACTCTTGCAAAAGATGTTTTAATTATTACCACTTCACACCACTACATCCAATAGGTAATTGTATATATTTTCTTTATTCTGTGTTTGACAGCATAGCATTTGGTCCTTTATGAAAGAGATTGGAGGTCCAAACAATCGCGGTTGATTCAGAATCTCTACGTAACTAGAGATTTTGTAACAACCAGAAGTGGAAAGCAGTAACCCGGGCTTAAACGCCAAAGTGATAGAGCTCCGAATAATCAACCAAATGAGCCGTTCATTTTGAAAATGACTTAAGTATATTTATCTTTAATTTGAAATACTTAATGTTTTGCGTTTTTACAAAATTAAAAATATACGTAAGATATATGGTTGAGTTGCAATGTTAAATCGCATTTAAGGGATTTAGTTTTATACATCCTATTAAAGTCTCTATTATTAAGTATATAATATGACCTTGCTTACCTTAAAAGGACTTAGTCACTTTCAAAATAAAAATTTGTTTTGTTACAAAAAGTGAAAGAAATTAAGTCCGTTACATATGGCTTAAGAAATAGAAAAAAAAAACATTTAAATTATATTTTTAGATAATGGAAATAAATCTAGTAACAAGATTTTCGTTAACATTCTCAGTATGCGGGAGTGATTTGAAGCAGTTATGGTGGTTCGGAGGTATATACCGCAATAAGTCCATCATATGTCGGTATTTTAATGATTGTGATGCTTCTTATACTTTTATATAACGATGGCAATATAAAATTCCCAAATTTTGTAGGTCTACCCCGACGTGGCAATAATTCATTTTACATTCTGCGTTCTCATCCATGGTTGTTTTGTATAAATTTTAATATGGTTCATGTCTTAAAATTCGCATCCAGTAAATTTGAATACCGTTTATTTTTTCTCCGTTGGTATTTTTAGATCTTTTGTAAACTGCTTCTTCCAAGAGCCTTGTTGATATAAAATCCTCTTGTTTCATTTCATTTAGTATGAAAGTATTACCTGTTCTACATTTTTTTAATTATATAATAATAATCTTGTGGCACATACAATAACTGATTTATTTTTAACGACATTTCTATAACGCCAAAATCTCTGTCATTGGGTAAAAATGAATGCCCTGATATTAAAAATTCGTGGTCTATGAATTCCAAATCATTTCCCATCGATAAAATTTTCAACCACATGAAAGATATTTTGATGTTTCTGTTTTGTCCTCCACCCATGTGTTTTTCACGTTTCAGGGCTTTTAGGTTTCTTAAGAGGCATGAAGCCACTTCTTGGAAACCTCTAGAAGCTTTTGTTTCGTCCCAAACGTACATGTATACATATCATTGTGAAAATTGTGTATGCCTAAATTTTAAATATACATGTTACATTTATAATAAGCTACTGAAGTAGTTAACTTTGTTAACGCTTTCTGCAAATCGAATGAAAAGCCAAAATAATGAGATGGATTACTCGATACTCGCTCTTCATCCTGTTTTAACGCATTTTTAGCGGATCCTCCTAGTTTCAAATGAATATCATGTTCTTCCATAAGTTTTTTCTGTTCTTCTTGGTTTTCTGATGCTTTGACTTTAAGGTTTAATAGATCACATCTTTGACATGTGTCTTTGCGTGGTTGGTGAAAATGTAGATAAAATCCTTTTTGAATATTTTTCTATAAGTCCATTCATTTACTGCTTTCAAATTATTTTTTTTACAGTGAAGCTCATAAAAATTAAACATTTCTTTTTAGTCAGTTCAGGATGAAAATATTTTCAGTCGGGATTATGATCCCTAGTATAATGGGATTCAAATTTCGGGAAACTGTTAATATGGTTTTGAACAATCATATTTGCTTCACCACATATTCTTCTCGACGATCCAGGCAAACGCCCACGTAAATCGTTGGCAAGGTTTTTAGATTTTAATACACGTTTCAATCGTTCTTCGCTTATTTGAAAAGATTTGAAAGAATTTTTTAGAAACACTTTGCAGGTTTTAGAATTTAACCAATACGTAAAACTCTCATTTCTACATGAACCTTTTCCGTTTCTCTGGCGTCTTCTTTTTACAGCACTGCGTCCGGTCGCTTCGTATAGCAATATATTTTGCTTATTAAAGTCTTCTAAGTTGCAAAACATTTCGAAAATACATTTTCTTTCTGTAAATTTTTCAAGCAGTCTTTTCGTCAATGGCAATCTTCATTTTGAAAAACTTTGGCAGGAACAATTTTTCCCGATAGTGTATCGTATCTTTTCCCTGAATTCCGTTTAATTTTACGAATTTTCTGAATATAAGTACCACTTCCGTGTTCTCTGAATCCTTCCCTGAAGGTGCTGTTTTGTAAATTCTCATTCTCAAATATTTCCTCTTCCTCTGTTTTTAAATCTGTTTGTATGAGTTTAATTCCTCTTCACTTTCAAAATCAGGAAATCTTGTTATCCTATCCTTTCCTATGGGTTTAATAATTTCTTTAAGTTAAATATTATTTTTTAATTTTCAATTTAATATCAAAACGCAATTTAAATTACCTTCATCACTGCTTTCAACATTTTGGGCTGCACTTTTTGACATCGTCAAAAAAAAGTGGACTTAGGTCACTTTCAAAATTAGAATTTTCAGTATTTATATTATTTTGAAAATGTACGTGATTTAAAATTATCAAATATACCAAGCATATTTCAATACCGATATATTTTGACAGATCAGCATAAATTATAAATGGCAACTTGATAAAAGATGAAAATGGACTTAAGCCACTTTCAAAATAAACGGCTCAAATATTCAACGCATGGGTAAATGTCAAGTCTTTAAGCAATACCTGGGAGAATTGATTTCGAATGGAGGTGGTTGTTCACAAGACACTAATCGTAGATGCATCGCTAGAACAACAGCAAAAGAGTCTACATGAAACATAGCGAAACAGTACTATCACATTAAACACAAAAGAGACTGCAACTAAGACATTAATTTTCCCAGCCCTACTATATGATCCATAAAAGCTATCGGCCGCAGAAAGAGTGACACGCTTTAGCTCTGGTACTACAGAAGGTTTCATTAACAGGAAATTAAAAAACACCAAATGTTATTTAAAGTACCAGTTGAAATATTTCGACAGAGAACACATGCGGATAACCTGGAACTGACTAAATAAGGGCATGCACTAATCTAACAGTAAACCAAGCTGCAACATATGGGTTTGAAGCCCTTATAACGACTCCTCTTTCAAGAGGAAACGGAAGAAGAAAACGAAAAAAAGAATACAGAATGAAATGACGAATACTTAAGCCGCTGTCATTGTTTGCCATTCATTTCATGGCATCAATAGCTTGATCAAACAGGAGCCTAAAGTTTTTGAAAGTCGTGTTGTGTCTTGCTCAGTTGCACTCATATAAGTGATACCGCAATCTGCTATATGTACCTACTTTATCAAATTATCTTCAAATTTAAAAATTTTCGTGGTTATCTAGTCGATAATTCCTTGTTTTTCCCTTCTAGGCATCCTGAATGATGGCTTACGTTATCTAAAACTGCTACTGAATCAGTCAATAGGTGTTTATCATTTCACAAACATATCATGAAAAACATTAGCAGTCCTTTTAAAAATTCTTCTTCGTTTTCAATCTTCGATTTCTGAAGGCACAACCCTGGGTGGGTTTTGCCGGCTCTGCCGCAGGCCATTTTGAATGTGCATGGCTCTTAGATCTAGAGCCACTCGTACAAGCTTTGTCGTTCTGTTATCAGGCATTCTTCTTCGCTTATTATATTACCATCTGTATCCAATTCTTTGAGTTCCTGGTCAGTTTTTATTTGGTATTTTTCAGTTTCTTCTTCCCTGGTTAGGCCGAATATTTTCGTCAACATCTTCCTTTAAAGCATTTTTAGTCCTCCTTATTTGATATACTCTAGTACTATCACAGTTTAATCATTGTAACAGAACATTTATGTCTTGTTTAGGCAAGGAGACCTAAAAAATAAGTTTAAAAATTGCTTTGCGAGTGAGCAATTACTTACTCACTACTTACTTTTCTTGTCCTTAATTACCCCCCCCCCCCCACTCCCACTGAAAGTGTTGTCTGTTCCCTTCAATTATTTTAATTCTAAATTTTGACCTGTACCAGATGCCTGACTTTTTTAGCTCTTTCTTACCAAATTTAATTACCGATGCAATTTTGTCAATGTCATTATTATTAATGATTAAAGTAATGAAGCTTATTATTATTCTAATTATTATTATACAAGATTTGGTTTGCTCTTTTAGATACTGTAACATCGCAAGGGGTCAAAAATGACAACAAAGCCTATTTATTAGCATTAGATTTACAATAGCAGATCAAAAATAACTTTACTGTCAAACTGACACCAAAATTAAGCGTAAATATTTAAGAAACAGTTTTCAAAAACGGGACAACAATAGCGTCTTTTGTTCACCGATATGTTTTCCATTTTCACTTTGTAGTATTTTTGTATTACAAGTATTGATACACACAAAATTTTTCCAAGAAAATACAGAATGATGCGTTGATAAGTGTCAAGTGTATTCATTAATATTTTGGCACCCACCTACCTTAAAAGGACTAGATAAAAACATTTGTATTTTTCTATTATTTTCTTGCCTATTATCTTCTGAGGATAACAATAAAAAACATGTGATTGTCGTTAAGATAAAAAATAAATACTTCAGTTTTTATTATATAGAACACCATGTATAGTTTGCGTCAGGATGAAAGTCCTGTGCTTTACTGCAGTTTATTATTGCATGTTGGTATTAAAGGACTTTCAGCTTTAGTACCGTAAGTCTTCAAACACCCTTAAAATATTCATTATTTCAAAGCCAATCTTCTATTTGTAAAAAATTATATTATTTAACACTATAA